ATTTGGTGCTGTTTCCAGTTTGGATTACTACAAACAAAGCTATATGAATATTCATGCATAAGTCTTTGTATAAATATATGCTTTTATTTTTCTTGAGTATATGCCTATGAGTAAATGGCCAGATCGTATGTTTATTTATTTATTTTTTTTAAGAAACTGCCAAGCTATTTTTGAAAATGGTTGCGCAATTTTACATTCCCGGGAGCCATGTATGAAGAGTTCCAGTTGTTTTACATCCTTGTCAACACTTGGTATGGGCAGTATTTTTCATTTTAGCCATTCTAATAAATGTGTAATGATATTTCATTGTGGTATTAATTTGCATTTTCCTTTTGATTAACGTTAAACAACTTTCATGAGTTTATTGGCTATCTATATATCTTCTTTGGTGAAGTGCCCATTCAAATCTTGTGTTCACTTTTCTATTGTTTGTTTTCTTATTATTGAGTTTTGAGAGTCCTTCATATAATCTGGATAAAATTCCTTTATCATATATATGATTTGTAAATATTTTGCCCAGTTTGAGGCTTGCCTTTTCACTTAGAACTGAATTTTGAACGCTAAGTAGACATAAATTAAGCTGTGGGATTATGGTGGAAGTCTTGCCAAGAGGAAGTAACACAAGGAAAGAGACGACAACGGGGAAGAGCCTGGTGAGTTCTGAGCAGTTTCGCTGCAGAGCATCAGAGAGGCGAAGCTGGGGCTGGAGGAGCCATCGTTTTAAAGGGATAGGAGCCAATGGAGAATTTCAAACCAAGAGGGGCACCGTCAGACCTGCAATTCAGAAAGATCCTTAATGGAGTAACATGGGGAAAATAGGGAGTTAAGAATTGGGGAGACCATTTAGGAGAGATAGTATCAACCTGAGACATGTTCAAGTTATTATCTTGCTCTAAGGAAGGAGGACCTCTAAAAAGATACTGAAGGAACCAGAATCGGTTGAGATACGATTATAGACAGTAACATAAATGAACAAGATGTGCCTTGTCTATAAGTACGGCAGTGTTGCTGAATGAGTCAGTAGGATATTGGATTGAACTGTGTTTTCCTAATTTGGAAATGGATTTATATTGACCAATCACAATCAGATCCAAATCTTAAAAACTGCTTGCATTGGTTAGGGTTCTCCAGAGAAACAGAGCCAGTAGGATAGTTAGATAGATGGATGGATGGATGAATAGATAGATAGACAGACATTTAGCACATTTAGTACAGGAATTGGCTCACGGGATCATGGAGGCCGAGAAGTCCCACAATGTGCTGTCTGAAAGCTGGAAAGCTGTTGGGATAATTTAGTCCAAGTTGAAAGGCTGCAAATCAGGTGAATGGGGACTGGGGAGGGCTGCCAGTGTAAGTCCAAGACACGGAAGGTCCCAGAACCAGGAGTTCTGATGTCCAAGAGCAAGAGGAGGTGAATGTCCCAGCTCCAGAAGAGAGGAAGATCACTCTTCCTCCTCCTCTCTGTCTTATTAGGGTCCTCAACAGATTGGATGAGCCTGCCACGTGGGTGGAGGAAGACCTTCTTTACCCAGTCTACTGACTCAAATGCTAATGTCTTCCAGAAACACCCTCACAGACACACCCAGGAATAATGTTTGACCAGCTCTCTGGGCATCCCTTAGTTCAGCAAAAGTGACACATGAAACTAACCACCACACTGCTCACCAGGACGACTATGTATCAGGATCTGTTCTGGGCCTTTCTATACATGTATTTCGTTTAATACTCACAACAATCAAAAGGGGAATGAGTTGGTACTAGCATGTTGATTTTATAAATGAGATTCAAAACAATTAAATGGCTTACTAGCACTAGTGAGCAGCAATGCCGAGATTCTTGATTCAAGTTCTGACTTCTCTAAGGCAATCTTCTGCACCTGCCATAAACCGGCTAGCATTAGTGAGACAGCCTGAGACTTAGGGGAAGGCCGACTGCTCTGCACAGTGACAAACTCCAAGTTTTGGACCTCGTTAACATGTGTCCCCGAAGGCACCATCCGGGGGATGATGGCCATCTGTTTCTCACACTCACCTGAAGCTCAACAGGAGAAAATTGGCTTAAAGTAGAGCTGTAAGAATGTCGGTTCATACATTATTAATAAAACAAGCCCTTGCGTGAAGGGCAGTAGGACACCAGAACAAAGTTCTAATAAAATATCTAATATGTATTGAATTTTCCTTCCAAGTACTCGGGGCTTTACAAAGAATATTTCATTGTATTCCTACAATAACCTTACGGGGTAGGTCCTATTACTGTGCCCAATTTGCAAATGAAGATCGCAAGTCCCGGAGAGTAATAAAACTTTCCCAAGGTCTCGCAGTGAGTGATTGGCATTGCTGGCATTTGATTCTTCGTTTGTCTGACCCGGCCTTGCAATGCCCACTGCCTCTGAGCAGACCCACGATTTCTGTTCCAGAGGACGCCGGAGGCGGGGCGACGCGCGCCCACGCGGGCCGGAGGGGGGGAGATGCGCGCCCACACGTGCTGGAGGCAGGAGGCGGGGCAGTCTACAAAATGACCCTATTTGGGGTGAAAACCCTGACTCCCCTGCCACAGCACAGGGGCTATAAAGCAAATCCCAGATCCCAAGAAGTCCAGTCTCCAAGCCCCATGGTGGTCAGGCGGTGCTTTCCACGGGAGAGGACAGCAGATAAGAGCAGCTTCCTCCTAGAGGTGACGGTGGCATCCTCCCAAGCTCACAGGTTCAGAGAACACCTTACCCGTGACAGGCCATCTGAACCCCTCTTCCCACTCCCCTGCCGGGTCCCTTGCAGCGTTCCCTGTCCACACGTCCTGACGCAGCCATAGCACCCCGGGCAGGACAGGAGCCTCGGCAAGTGCTCGCCTCCCTGGCCGGGGGGCATGCCCACGCAGGCCAGCTCCTCCGACTGCACCTCTGGCTGAACAAGCCGGTGACCAGGCGCTGGCTCAGCAAGCTTCGGGGACAGGACGGCCTCAGCTGCACAGCTGACTCGGTGTCGGCCGTGCTCTCTCACTCCTCCGGGACTCTGTCTTCCCCCTAGTTCCTCATACTGATTGAGGATGAACTGCTCGGCCTGGACTGGGTCAGAGACTAGGGGTCTATCGGGAAATAAATCTGACACAATCCCCTTCTGGTCAAGCTTGCTGTGCCATTATGGAGATAGACGTTAAATAAATAATTATGCGAATAATTAATTCCAGCGTGGTGAGTGCTCCAAAGCTACGAAGGGAAAGTCCTGGCAGTGGGAGAACGTATAAGGAAAAGCCGGGTGGGGAAGAGGTTTTGCTGAGAAAAACAACGTTTATGTTGAAATCTGAAGGACAAGTGCACGTGCATTAGAAGAAAGAGCTTGGGAGAGGGGTCTGGCAGAAGGAACAATGTGCACAAATGTCTCGAGCATGGAATGAGCTTTGTGGGTTAATTGGAGGGTCTGAAAGAGACCAGCGTACTTGGAGAAGAGTGAGCTAGCTGCAAAGGTGGGCAGGATCAAAACTGCAGGAAGATTCTGGACTTCATCTAGAAGAACTTGAACAGAAGGGATATGTTTATAAAGGAGATTTTGAGGTCATGTTTGCATTTTAAAATGTCCCCTTTGATTGTAGATTAGAATATGGATTTGGAGGAGGTGGCAGTGAGGTGGGAGTGAAACTGGATGGTACAGGAGGACCAGTTCAGGAAGTTATTATGGTAATTAAGGAAAAAGATGACGATGAAGGTGTTCTTGATGATAGAGAAGGAGAATAGAAGATTAAACTCAAGTGGCAGCGGTGGGCTGGAGAGAAGCAGAGATACTCAGGAGGCAGATCACAGGACTTGGTGATTGGCTAGGCTCTGGGGGGCAAGAGAGAGGGCGGTGTCCAAGCTAACTCTCGGGCTTCTGGCAAGAGTGACTCCTCCTCCTCCTCATCTCCCCAGTAAGCCATCCCCATCTCTCTTCCCAGCTTATCAGACAAATACAGTGCAGGCTACCCAGAGGATGGAATATTGCTGCATTATGCTATTTTTGCACAGTGAAACCTGGAGATAAAAATCTTTCTACTTGTTATGTAAGAAGTGATAAATGTCACGAGATAGGTTTCCTCCAGTTCCAGGGCTTCCATCTTATTTCTGATTAAGCCCTGGCACCTGTGCTTTTTTCTAAAGGGCTACTCAGGTGAGAATAGCGTCCCTTTGGCCAACCTGCCAGGCTGTGTCCTCTGGAGAGGCATAAAGTCTTGTGTGGGGGCAGGAGAGGAAATAATCCCAGAATTTATCTTGGATTTTAGGTAAAAAAAAGTTTGTGTTGATTTATATTTGAACATTTCTCCTTTTTTTTTTTTTTTCCAAATTGAGATATAATGCACATACCATATAATTCACCCATTTAAGGAAGACAATTCCACAGTTTTTAGGGTGTGCACACAGTAGTTCAACCAACACCACAACCGATTTTAGGATATGTTCGACAGCCCAAAAAGAAACCCCATATTCAGTAGGAGTCACTCCCCATTTATCCTCAATTTCTCCCTCCCTCACTAACATACTTTCCTTCTCTGTAGATTTGTATATTCTGGGTAGTTTATATAAATGGATTAATATACTATGTGATCTTTTGTGTCTAGCTTCTTTCATTTAGCCTAAGGTTTTCAAAGTACATCTGTCTTATAGCAAGTATCAGTATAGTATTTGTTTTTATGGCTGAATAATATTCCATTGTATAAATATGCCATATTTATTTATCCACTCATCGATTGATGGATATTTGGATTGTTTCCACTTTGGGGTTAGTATGAATAATGTTACTATGAACGTTTGTGTACAAGTTTTTATTTAGACTTACATTTTTATTTCCCTTGGGTATCTACCTAGGAGTGGAATCGCTGGGTATTTGAATGTTTCTTAAAGGCAAAGATCATACCAGCCTTTAATTCATGCGCCTTTGAACAAAATGTGCTAGACATATCTTCAGTAAAAAGATAAAAAAGTACTGTTAGAGAGTCTGCAGTTTTAAGGACTGAAAGAATGTGCCTATAAATATGCTTTCTTGCAAATACATATGTTAGTTACATCCATAATGCTGAAAAAAGGTTTAAGGAAGCAACATGTAAATAAATGCTAATTAGTATAGTGTGAACTGCATGTCTGAGAGTAAAGGTGAAAGATTAGTAAGGAGGTGCTGGGATTGAGATAAATCAGAATCTTTAAGGTTCCACTGAGTTCATTTCCATCATTACTTACTAACTCAATGCCCTGAAAGAGCTAATGCAACTTCAACCATCGCCTAAAACTTGCAAGTCAGAGTGGGAATTGGGAAAACCTAATCTAGCTGTTCAAATGCTACCAAGTTCCTAAGGTCATTACATACATTCTGCCAACAACTGTTGGCAGATCACGCATCAGTAGGCAAACAGAGACTCTGTGTGCACCAGGCACTCTACACAAAGGCCACCTGAGCACACCAAGAGGGAAAGAAATGCCGCTGGAGAGGAAGGGACAACCAAAGAATGAGCTTGGAGACAGAAAATCTCTACATGAACAAAACAGCTAACTCCCCGCCAAGGGCTTAGGGGATAAGGACTCCAGATTGGACACAGAAAAAGACTCCACACTCCTCAATGTTAGAGGGAGGAGAATACCAGCAGAGAAGTCCACAGAATGACTGCTCTCTTATATCAGCAGCATCAGGGCAGGAAACCAATGCCCTCCTCACACAAGAGAGTGCCTGGGCTGCAGACCCTCTAGGGCCACTGAGAATGGAAGATATGAGCCCATGGACACTTGAGCAGGCAGAAGCTTGGTGTGCAACGTTCTGAAACGTGGAGGGGGAGATTTGCAGAGCCCCACAGCTCCTACATCTCATTAATGGTGGGCACTTCCGGCCCTGAGATGCAAGTTTGCAATATTTCAGGAGGAGGAAACACTAACTTCCACTGGTTCCTATTAATCATCTTGAAAGATCACATATCCAAACAGGGCTGTTTTCCTTTTCCATGGAGATAAAGGTCCAGGAGGAGCTGAAGTGGTCCTGTCCTGAGTTTCTGCTATATGCCCACACCTGTTCTTATGCTATTGCTCCATATTTGATGTGCCTAGTTAAGATTAAAATTAGACAGTGGGTTCACAACTATGGCTTTTAAGGTCTCCTTTCTGGGACTGTAATATAACCACATAGAGACACACAGAAAGCCAGAAACTATGGTGAAATTCTTCAAATCTTAGAACAGGGCCTGGAGTCCAGACACCAGGCATGATGAGAAACACAAGTGTTCAGGTTTGACCAATGGAAGTAACGCGCAGTCATTGACCCACTCAGTATTCCAGTTCTTGATCTCCTCAAGCAAACGTGGGCCAATCGGTTGTCTTATATCAGGACAGGCTGAAAAATCGGTTCAGACATCCTCCAGCTTGCCAGGGCGCTGGGAGGAGGCTCCCACCTTACCACACTCCGGGTGCTCAAAGATGGTCCAGGCAGACGTGGGCTGTGAGCCACAGGACAGGCGTCAGAACCAGGGGCCGGAGACAGAGCGCTGACCCCGCAGAGCCTCCTAGTGTTTGGGGGAGATAAACAGGAGAGGCCTCTAACACTCTGCAGCTCTTACGTGCTGCTTCTCCCTCTTTGGCCACTACTTTTTTACCTTCCTGTGAAGTATTGCCTCTCAGTAAAGCTTCTTTCCCAAGTTTTGAATCACCATAGGTTGTTTTGCAGCAAGTGGCTGGAGGGAGGAGGAAAAAAAATCTGTTACCAGCTCAAGTACATTTTGCTCTGTTAATCAGCATCTTAAAAAATTATCTTTTCCATTCCTTAGAGAAGTTGGCAGAGGCTCCCAACTGTTTTGAGAAAATGTAACCACCAGACCATCTGGGGCTGACATTTTCAACATGGCAGTCAGGAGAGCTCATCGCAGGAGCCCCCGGAAGATGAGGAGAACGCGGCTTCTGCAGGGTCCCCCAGACCGGGAAGGGCAGGCAGAAGCCTCCCCCACACACAAGCTTAGAGTTGAGCCCCCACCCCGCAGCCCCCCTCCCAGGGACGCCCGCTCTCAGAGACCGTATCTCGTAATATTAGTGATAGATGTTGACTCTGAGAATATCAAATGCCCTCCAAGTTTGAAGATCCGCTCTTGTTAAATAAAACTCAGGACCATGAGAGACAAAGATGAAAGCACATATATATGTTTACATGTGAAGCCAGAGTGATTGTTTAGCTAACAAGACTGGGGAATTAAGGTTTCTTAATAACTAGGTCAGCCCAGGGCAGTTAAGGGAATCACGCGGAACAGCGCAGAATCACTGGCGAGTCCCCCAGGCCTCCCGAACACGCGCAGAGCCAGAGTCCACCTAACAGCGACGCCGCTGCTGGCGCCGCGGTCTCAGAGCTGCAGCCCTCGTCCTTGTTAGCTGCAGAACGGTCCTCCTGGAGGCCGGCTGCCCGTGTCAAGACACAGATGACTGCCCACCTCCCCTAATGACTTTCCCCGCAAGCCGCCCCACCTTTCACTCATTGAGGTTCACGCCACATACTTCGCACCAGGTGAAACTTATTTAACCAGCCACATTTTCCCCAAAGGAAGGACTTTCCTTATGTTTGTCTTTGCACTAGCAATTATCTTTCTCGTCCAAAGGAATACAACTGGATGTTCCAGGGAAAAGAGACCTAGGGAAAGTATGAGAGCTCAGTCTCCCACAATCACTCCCTGCCTGAGTTCTTGCTCATCAGCCATTGGCTGCTGGGACATAATAAAAGACCAGGGTTAATCAAAATAAACTAGAATAGAGGCAGCATTTCTATGTGTTTCCATGCTAAGATGACAGGGCTGAACTGTAAGGTAATAGCTGCAGTTTATAATTAGAAGGCAATTCTTCCCTGTACCCAGGACTGTGCCAGGGGTAGGGATACCGAGGCAGGCCTCTGTCTCGGCAGTACACCGTCCAGGCAGGGCGGCCAGCCCATCAGTGCTATGTGTGCTTTCCGAGAAAGAAGCTTGTGCCACCAAGACCATATGACTCCCTGCAGCAGGTGAGGCCCCAGCTGGCATTTGAAGGAGAGTAGGAGTTGCCCAGACTAAGACATGCAGGAAGAGAGAGACGAGCAGAGGGACGACCATGTGGGTGCCTCAGGGCTGCTAAGCAGAGTAAACTTCAAGTATTTAGGAAGAGCTAATGAAAGGCATGTGTGTGGGAGAGCGGCGGGAAAGGATGTCAGGGAGGCCAGCAAAACCCGTCTGGGACAGGCCTTGTGCCTCAAAGGAAAGCCCTAGAATTGTGTCCACCATGGTGTTGAATGCTGAAAGTGAAAGCGAGCACTGACCGAGTCCTCAGCTTAGCCTAGGAGCCGGGAGGAGGCGGGGTCCCACGTAGGAGGAGGGAGAGCTAGGGGACCCATGGTGGGGCTCCAAGGAACAGACCCGGCTAATCCTCCACGCCCCTTTGTAATTAACCCCTCCCTTCACCCAGCCCCTGGAGCCCACTTATCTGCTTCCTATTCCCACAGTTTCACCTTCCCCAGAATGTCCAATAAGCAGAATCATATAGTCGTGGGGTTTTTGAGTCCGACTTCTTTCACTTAGCATAACGCATCTGAGGTTCAGGCACGTTGTTGGAGGCATCTTGTTATTGCTGAGTGGCATTCCATTGCATAGATGTAACACAGTTTATTTGTTCCCTGGCTGAAGGACATTCGGGTTGTTTCTGCGTTTTTGGAGATTATGAATAAAGCTGTCATAAATATTCACATACAGGTTTTATAGATACATAGTTTTCTTTTAACTCAGGCAAATACCTAAGAGTGGGATTGCTGGGTTGAACGTTAAATGTATGTTTAATTTTATAAAATCTTCCAAACTGTCTTCCAAAGTGACCATACTATTTTATATTCCCACCAAAAATGTATGAGAGTTCTAGTTCCTCCACATCCTTGCAAGCACCGTGAAGTAATGAGCAATGAGTAATGAGTTTTGTCTCATGGAGGCTTTGATTTGCATTTTCCTACTGACTGATGATGTTGAGCATTGACTACCTTTTCACTGAAAACATTGGTTGGCACATAATAGGTGCTCTGTACATTTGTGTTGCATAAATAAATCAATGTCACCATTGTCATCCTCTTCATTGTCATTTCTGTAAGAAGACATGAGAAACTGTACCAACGCAGTGACAATTGTACAGAAGACATATTAAGGAGTCAGAAGGGAAGGGTCTCGGTGGTGACTGTGGGGCGAATGTGAGCTCATCTGAAGTGACTCTCCACTTTCTGAAGACGCTGGTCCCAGTTCGGACATGGTGAGCCTGGGATGACCGTGGGACAATCGAGTGGGCAGGTCCTGGAGGCCAGGAGAGGGACTTTGTCTTTTCACTACTGTGTTCCCAGCACCTACAGATTTGGGAATTAAGAGCATACCATGCTTGCTCTACATCTTTTTTCATTTCTCACAACATCCCTGTAACATAAGCTGTAGATAAGGATATGCCTTTCAGGAGATTAACTTTCCCAAGTTCACAATGTTAATTAGTAATTTGCCAGGACTTGAACTCATACTTGCGAAGGGCCATTTTTAGCACTTACTGTGAATTAGGAAAACATGCCGATTAGGAACAGGAGCCTCCTCTGGGCAGATACCACTTCCTGCGGCTGCTGCGGTGCTGAGCTGCATCACGTAGTTTGCCAAGCGGAACACAGGGTGGACTTCAGCTTTTCCTCACCCTTTCAGACAAGTTCCCTTGTGCAGGTACAACCACACGTGAGGGCCTTGCCTCTGATACCAACACCTGCGCCGCTTCAACCACGTCCTGATGCTTCTGATTCCACTGGTCAGCAAAAACAAGCTTTGGTATTTAGAGTCCAGCCCCACTTACATATTAATATAGGTTATTAACTCATATGGAAGGAAACATCAACTTACAAACTTCCCCAGGTATAAATATATCCACTCTAAGTTATGACTGTCCTACCTCTATGGTGTTTTATAATCATTATCAATTTCATAATGCCTCTCAAGTGCAAAAATAACAAGATGTTAAATGAGGTACTAAGAAGAGGCAAGTGGATACAATGAAATAAAATTTAGATTTACACTGATGCATGGGTATTGTTTATAAATATCAAGTTGGCCTCACATGCTACATTGTCTACAGGTAAAAGAGCTTTTACACATGTGTATGTAACTTAATAGGATTATATCCTCTAACAAGTCTGCAAATAAAGTTAAACTTTATAATAAGGCAAGAGATCTTGTCAGTTTTTCATTTCCCTATTCACTTTACTTTCTCATGCCCTCACGTCAGGGGAGTAAGTGGTTAATACCGGGCACCCCAGTGTGTGTTAACCACTTCCTCCCCTAACCCACTCTCGGCCAGAGAGTGAGTATGCAAGGTGGCTAAAGAAGAGATCTAACATGTATCTGTCCTAGCAAGAGGTCTTCACAATCGCACACCAAGGAGCCTGACCCAAGATAGCAATGTGTCAAAAGCACAAACTTCCAAGTGCTGGGAAATTCAGAGAACCTGTCCTGGTTTTTGAGATGCCACAGTCTCCATATCAAAATCTCACGCATGTACAGAGTAAGTGAAGAGATAATCAGAAAATACTAACAGCTAACATGCAGAACTTATGCATGCCACGCACTGTCCTAAAAACGTAGCACATATTAAGTCAATTATCTTCACAACAACACTGAGTTTTGTATTGTTAATAACCCCACTTCATAGATGAGCAAACCGAGGTGTAGAGAGATAAAGATCACAGAGAACTAGCAATGACAGAGTCTGTATTCAAACTAGTCCATGCACTCGGCCACCACACCACTCTGCCTCTTGAGAGGAGGTATTGTGTCCACATGTGTCCATTTGCTCAGGCATACTGTGATGGGCTTATATAAAATCATACCTGAAGAAGCTGGAAAGATCTATGAATAACAAATCCTGGCCCCCTCACTGTGTCTGAAGAAAGGGGGAAAAATCTCCATTTCATCTGCCACATGGAAGAGAAACTTGTGATGTTGGATATCAAAGTTGGCCCTCACACAAGGCTGAATACTTCAAGGAATAAAACAAGGGCCATCCTCCCGTCAGACAGAACAGACACAAGTGCAAATTCCAATGGTTTTAGCGACAAAGGGAAAATTAACTCACCCACTGCCAGCCTGCTGCTCTTAAACCAGGGCCCATTGTTCTGACGGGGGAGAGAGGCTTCGTCTTTGAGTGCCACCTTTGACACATGCTAGCCTGGACTTGAGCTCTTTCTGAAGTGGAGGACTGGCCCTTCTGTGCAGCCCTTCCCTCCCTTTCCCTTTCATCGGGATGTCTGACTGTTGCAACCTCTTATAATACAAGAAGGGACATCCTAGGCTTTTTTAATACAACAGAGCAGATGGAGCTCCTTTTTGGGATACAGAAAAATAAAATCTCACCAGTAAGAGGCCCATCTTTTGACAACATGGTAGCTGGTCAGATACGATCCAGCAGCCTTTCCGTTAGCCCTTCATGCTGAGTGTGTGATTCAGCCGACTGGGCTGCCTCCTCTCTCCGTTGTATACTCCCTGCCAGAGACAGACATTCCCTGTAGGCAACTGACGCAAAGTCCAGTAGCTGCAGTACTTGGCATAAGGCTTTAAGCTCATTGCAGAGTCCAAACATAGCTGATTACCCTGAGACGAGAGGGCAGGATCCAGGCCTCCCAAATCACCCTGAGTCTCCCCCTCGCTCGCACCTTCAGGCACAGATGAGGTGCCCAGCTGGGGCCAGGGGTAAGGGAGGCACGCACCTGTTCCCTTCTGGGTCCTTCCGCAGCCAGCGATGCTGGGCTGTGTTGAGAAGCATCTCAGTGTAAAGAGCTGTTTGGCCTGAAGTCTCAGGGGATGGGGGTTGCAGAGTCTGCCTGGTGAGTGCTCTTTTTGCAGGGTGCAGCATTAGAAATTAACCCTTTCCCCAAGGGTCTTTCTCTTAAGACTTCCTGCATCCAATTAAAACTCTATGAACACCAGCCTGCTGTTAGGACACACTCAAAAAAACTCAACAGCCCTCAAGTGGCAAAGGGTAAAATTCCCATTTCTGTCAAAATGCCAGACAAGTGGGTCAGGACCTGGGGTGTCTGATTTTGCACAGCCACTGCACTCTAATGATTCACCAAGCCCAGGGAAAGGGAGGACAAGGAAAGAAAAGACAAAGGAATAGGGTTTCCTAGGTAGGCAGCAGGTTATCAACCATGATACTACCAAAATTGACCAATCCAGACATCTGCCTCCACACAGAATCCCATATCACAAGAATAACATAACACTTAAGGAATCTGCATGATTCTTAAAAATTCCCAGGAATGGAGAGACCACTGGCTCCCTTGGCAGCCCATGCAGTGGTTTCTCAAAGTACACTGTTCCATTTTAGTAAGCATCATAGCCACCCAAATGTTCTGCTTTCTGACATTTATAGACCCTAATTGCTTTTGTAGCCCACTTCAACCTGAAGTGCAGCGTGAAAGAGAAGCCAACTGACCTGAGTATCCCAGAGGGTTAGCTATTTGGGAAAATGATAGCTGGATTGTGTCCAGGATTGGCTTCCTTTACCTTTTCCACTGTTCCCCACTCCTAAGACAACCTGTGGGACAGTTTATGGCATGCCAACACATTTAAGGCCGCCATAAAGAAACCCATAAAATGCTGGAACTTCATTAAAGTCCATATGACAACTCATATCGAAAGCTCCTTTATTTCTTCCAGATGCCACATCGAATATGAAATCAAGCAAACTCTCAGGAAGGCAAAACCCACACTGCCTTCCCTGAGCAGTGGGCAGAGCCTGCTAAACAAGGCAAGTACAGAGAGTTGTAAGACGAAGGAGACCAAGAAACCAAAGCAAACTGACCAGAAATAAGTTACACATGACCCAGTATCTATGTGTATATCTTGAATCAGGATCTTTTGGTGGTTGAAAAGAAACAAAGTTAAAGAGATAGTCTCGGTGCACAAAGCCATGATTCCTGAGGTCTGTGTCTCACTAACCATCCAAAAATTCCCCTGACCTACTTTTCCCCCACCCCTTTCGGCAAAATAGAGATATCTTCTTGACAGGATGCAAGTCAGAGCAACGTCAAACCATTCACAAGTCTATCATTTTCAACTTAGCACTGAAACGGTAGAAATGTGTATTACCTGCCTGCTCCTCTGAATTTCTTCCTGTCTAAGCTCTTTTTCCCCATGGAAAAGGCAGTTTAAAATTCACCTCTCCTATCATGTCATGCAACTTTTACTTAGATCATATGAAGAGGTGTCTCTGCATCCACAGTTTCCCGCAGAGGGTCTTTAGCACCCCATGACTTAGCAGCAGCATCCTTCAATCCTTGTCTCTCAGGATGCTTTATGGGGATAAATGACCCTGTTAACAGAGACAAATAACAACAGAGAGAGAGATAAATGAAGAAGTATGAGGCTGAGATATGAAAGAAGATGGGGAGCCAATGAGGTAGAAATATACAAGGCAGCAATCACAGGCAGGAGGGATGACCAAGAAGGTTCTGCACTCAGCATTTAATCAGAAGAATTTCAGCCCCTAGGGGTGATCCAGTAAGCTCAGAGTGAAGGCACCAAAAGTTCAGATACCACTTCTCCTCTCAGCTCTGCAGTACAAGATGATAATACAGTGGAATGAACGATGGCTTTGGCATCAGACACGCCCATGATGAAATCCACGTTCTACCACTCGCCAGCGAGACCAAGTCCCTCTGCACACCTGTTCTGTGCTTCTGGAGCCCCTTGGTAGTGTCAGGATGTTGGAGAGAGAACTAGTTCCCAGCAAGTGAGGCCAGTTCCCAGATTTATGTCTTTCTACTGAGTGTGATTCGCAAGAATAAGAGACCAAATGAAATGGTAGTGCTCAAAGACAAAAGACGCAGGGAAATGGCAAATTTACCTGCTTCATCTTCTCTCTTGATTCCACTTGGCCTACTGACTTCTTCCTCACGTGCTGATTTTTCCTTTTTGTTCGTCACATCTCAATGGCACCACATTTCCTTTCCCTCTTTCTCAATTCTTGACCATCTTCCTTTTCCCTGGCTTTGTACACACTACAGGTATGTAGTGGCTCCTACCTAGTATTCACACCCACAAGCATAGGGCTGACCTGGGCAAGCCAAAAGTATATTGCAGGAATGATGGTATGACATTTCTGATGCTAGGTCACAAAAGGCGTGAGGGTTCTGCTTTGCTGTCTCCTAGATCCCTCATGCTCAGGGAAGGCAGCGGCTGTGCTGTGAGGACCCTGGTGAAGCAGCACAGTGGAGAGGCCCATGTGGCAAGAAGCTAAGGCCTTCTATGAACAGCTTTATGAGAAAGTCATCTTGGAAATGGACCTATAGCCTCATTGGGCCTTCAGGTGATGATGTAGCCCCAGCCTCTACCTTGAATGCAACCTCCTGGAGAGACTCTAAGAGAGAATCATCCAACAAAGTCACTCCTAGATTCCTAACTCAGAAACTGTGGGAAATATGGAAAGCAATATGGAGATACCTTAAAGCGATACAAGTAGATCTACCATTTGATCCAGCAATTCCACTACTGGGCATCTACCCCAAAGAACAAAAGACACCCGCACTCGAAGGCTTATAGCAGTACAATTCACAATTGCAAAGATGTGGAAAAAACCCAAGTGCCCATCAATACACGAGTGGATTAATTAAATGTGGTATATGTATACCATGGAGTACTATTCAGCCAAAAGAAACAACAGTGACATAGCACCTCTTGTATTTTCATAGATAGAGCTGGAACCCATTCTACTAAGAGAAGTATCCCAAGAATGGAAAAATAAGCACCACATATATTCACCAGCAAATTGGTATTAACTGATCAACACCTAAGTAGACATATAAGAATAATATTTATCGGGTGTCGGGCAGGTGGGAGGAGGAAGGAGGGGATGGGCATATACATACATAATGAGTGCCATGTGCACCATCTGGGGGATGGACACGCTTGAAGCTCTTACTTGGGGGTGGGGGTAGGGGGAAGGAGGAAAGGCAACACATGTAACCTAAACATTTGTACCCCCATAATATGTTGAAATAAAAAAAAAATAAGCTGTGGAAAATAAAGGGGTATTGTAATTTGTTACGCAGAAACAGAGAACTAATACAATCTTCCATCATATGTTTCAGCCTCTGAACACTGAATCCTATTGATTTCCTGACTATACAAAATCCCCTGGGATATCAAAGTTTATACCTATATCGCTCGGACAGTTTTTAGAACTTGTACTGTGGCTTTCATTGACTCAACACTTCTCTTTCCCATTCAAACTAAATATTCCACCAAAACCAAATTTCTTTCCTACAAATAGGCTCATTCCAGAAGCTCTTGACATTTGATTAATGCTATGCCATTGTCAGACACCAATGCTAGAGGGAGGCCGAATGGGAGGATTATCTCAGTGGGGCCTCCAAATGTTGTAAACCAGCAGATCAAGGGGACTCGGACTCACAAAGCACCCCAAAATTTGGTACCTTAAAGCAACAATATATTATCTCCCCGACCCCTGGGGGTTGATGGGCTCATTTTGGTAGTTCCCACTTGGGGTCCTTTATAATGTTGCATTCCTATGGTGGCTGGGGCTGGAGTTAGGGATTTTCATTGTGTCTACTTGAAACTTTATCATAATCTTGTAGGTAGAAAGGAAAAAATATTAGCCCCATTTTACAAATGAGAAAATTGAGGTTCAACACATTTCACTGATTTGCACAGACACAGTTACTTAGTAATAAAACTGAAATTGGAAACTTGGGCTTTTTCTGCTGTTCTATCTGCCTCTTTTAGACAGGCAAATCAAATATCTATTGATTCTAGTTTTGTGAATAGACATCTAAGCAATTCAATGTGGACTCAACTGTCATAGATTTTATAAAGGTGAAGCACTATAAATATGTCTATATGAAAAATAAAATGCTAGCAGGTCTAGTTATTTGCTTCTGTATCACAAAGCACCCCAAAATTTGGTGCCTTAATACAACAATATATTATCTCCTCTGGGGGTTGATGGGCTCATTTTGGTAGTTCCCACTGGGGTCCTTTATAATGTTGCATTCCTATGGTGACTGAGGCTGGAGTTAGTTGAATACATCTTCACTCACATGTCTGTTGCCAGGGCTGGGATGGCTAGAAATGCTGGCAGTTGGTGGAGCATCTCTCTCTCTCCATGCAGCCTCTCCATGTGGCTTTTGCTGCTTTACACATGGCAGTCTTAGGGTAATCAAATTTATTTGGTAACTGAATCCTTCTATGCATTCCAAGTTTTCTAAGGCTTGAGCAGAAGCTGCATGTCTTCTTATGAATTAACCACAGAAGCCCTGGAATGTCACTTCCACCACATTCTATTGGTTAAGGAAGTTATGAAGGCCAGTACAAACTCAAGGAAAGTGTAGAAGCAAATTCCACTTAATGGGATTAATGCACACAGGAAAGGAAGAAAAGGATGGTGACTGTCTTGGAGGCAAACCATCACAATCCACCAGAGCTCCAAAAATGTATGGCTCTCCTTCATGCAAAAAACATCCACCCCTCTCCTAAGGCCGATAAATGTTCATCCCATTACAGTAACAGCTTGAAATCCAAGATCCTATTATCTAAGTTAGGTCCAGATACAAATGAGCCTGCTTTGGTATGCACCCTTGGGTATAGCATCTTGAGTACACTTATTTGATCTGAAAACCTGTGAAATAAAGACAGCCATCTGTCTTCTCACCCACTCCAAACATACAATGGTGAGACATGCATAGGATAACTACAATATATCTTACTGTTCCAAAAGGGAAGAAATGAATAGTATACTATATAGAAGTTGTGGTTTCATAGTAATTCTGAAATTATGCTGGGCAAATATTGCTAGTTGCTTGGTTAGGGGCCAGTCCTTCCACAAGAAAATAATTCTTCTTCCCTCTGAACTCTTGGTTCCATCTCTGAATGTTCTTTTCTTTTACATAAGAAATGGCTTTTGTTTTAAATTGAGCAATCTCCTTGGTTTCTTCCTGCTTATGGAAGATTGAAGGTCTACAGGTCACTTTCTGTACTGTCTCTTACTTTTGGTCCAAGCTGATATAATTCCTTTAAAAATGTTGTGAGCTTCCTGTCTATCAAATTATAATCCATTCACTGAGACGAAAGCTATCATCTTTTTTTTCTTCCTGAGACAGCCCCTTTTTCCTTTTCTCCATTGACTTCAGAGTCAGACACTGCAAAATTGTGCTCTTAATGTGCTTATATGCTTTTTGTCTGATTTAAAGGGTCTTCAAGGTATGTGTTTAGGATTCTTTTCCTGCAAAAAAGGTCTAAGAAGAACAGACTTAATTTTTTAGAAGCCCTACTAGACATGTCTTTAATTATTTATGAAGTTTAAACGAAAGGCCTTATAACTTTGAGACTTTTACTCTGAAACCACGCTTTACTCATAATGGCTTAGATTTTATATTTTCCTTGAGGGCATTTCTAGTTTGAAAATCCTTTGCTGAAAGAGAATGGGGATAGGAAATAATTTTATTTTGAACCCATTAAACCAGGGTTCATTTACATTTCCTCTAAATTCTGTTTGAAAACTAGATGATTCCTTCATTAGTCCATTTCTACTCATATTTTATAATAGGCAGCTAGGAGAAGCCGGTTGGCACCTTTTGCCTTCTGCCTGCAGATCTCTCTGGCCAGACCCACAAGTTCATTTGTTCCTCTTTTTCTTTTCCACATTATCACAAGCGACAGTGCCAGCAAAATTTTCGCCACAAATCACAAGTGCTCCCTTTTCTTTAACCTCCGGCAATGTGTTCCTCTCTGTCTCTCAGACCCTCACCAACAGTCTCTTGAGACCTTTCCAGATTTCACTAACAGAATCTTTGCGGATATTCCAACTTCCACTCATTGCTCCGTCCAAAAACAAATGCCACATGCCTCAAGTTTATGTTATAGCAGCATCTCACTTTGAAGCACCAAAGTTCTGTTCCAGTTATCAATTTCTTCTTGCAAAACTATTTCAAAATTCAGTGGCTTAAAACAGCAATATAGTATTATTTCTCGCAGTTCTGGGAATTGATGACTTTATCCGGGCAGTTGTCACCTGGTGTACCTCTCATATGGCTGTGGCCAGAGAGCAGTTGAAGCTGGAGTCAGCTGTAAGTGTCTCCACACTTGCACTTGGCACAGACACTGGGCTAGCCAGAGGCTGACGGGACATTTCTCTCCCCACGCAGCTTTACACGTGGCTGTTCTGGGCTTCCTCAGATTATGGTGAGTCGGGCTCGTTACCTCACGTGGTGGCTGGCTTCCTCCAGAGCCATTATCCTAAGAGGCCCAAACAAACAACCACACCAGAGCTTCCCTGCCTTTCACCGTTCACAGCACCCTTAGAGTCTCGGTATCTTCTTCACAAGATGTCTAGGGCAAAACAAACAAATACAAAATAAAATGAAACAAAAACCTAATGGCTCATTATCAACCATAGGTCAAACAAATTGATACGTTTTTATTTTCCAGTAACTTAGTGCCTGTTTGGAAAAAAAACCATATAAATTGAAAGAAAATATTTTTTAATTTTGCTCTTAAATAGCTGCAATGGTATTACAGCGAATGGTAATGCTTACTAACGGTACGTGTGCACCTGCTGGGCACTACACAACTTCTCAAACCTTGGAATCAAACTGGACAGCACGACACACGTTTCGTATTCCACAGTGATCTTTGTGTAATATTTGCCTTATTGTCACATAAACCACCAAAACCCGAGCCTTGCAAAGATGTAGAATCATCAAAACAAATGTGACGTGCTGTTGAAAGTGTGAATCATCTTGAACTAGTAGCTTTGCAATGTCTGATAGATGTTCATGTGTTTCCCTCCCCCAGATATAAAATAATTTATGGTACCCCTGTGAGTTCACCGTGATACCTCAGCGTGCCTCAGCACAGAGCCTGGAAGCTCTCTACTACACCCAGCAAATCCTGAAACGAGATGAGGTATCCGAAAAGATGGTTTTCACTGGGTCCCATCTTTAACTCTCTTCCTTATCTATCCAACAAATTCTTATATCCAGGTTCCTCACAAAATACCTAAAAAAAACGGTAGATATTTTAGACATATCTGTCGAATAAATGAATAAATATGTGGATACAGACCTCAGTTTGAGAAAATAGAAGGGAACTTCCCATGGGAATGGTCTTAGTTTGCTAGGCCTGCCGTAACAAACTGCCAGACTAGGTGGCTTTAGAAAAGAAGTTTTTTTCCTCACAGTTCTGGAGGTTGGAAGTCCAGGATCAAGGTGTCAGCAGGATTGGTTTCTCCTGAGACCTCTCTCCTTGGATGATAGATGGCTACCTTCTCGCTGTGTCCTCACATGGCCTTTTCTCTGTATATAGGCATCCCTGACACCAGTCCTGTTGGATTAGGGCCTCACCTTTATGAGCTCTTCTATCCTTAATTACCTCTTCAAATGCCCTATCTCCAAATACAGTGGGGCTTCAGTGTACTAATTTTTGGAGAAACACAATCCAGTCTATAAAAGAAATATATGGCAGCGGGGTGGGGGTGGGGATGGAATTCTGTGCCATCTCCTTAAGGGATCTTTCTTTCAACACATAAGTTTTTAATTTTTATGGATCCTAGGGGTCCTTGGCCCCCAGAAATTACATGCAAAGAATATATGTATGCACTTTTCTGGGGAGAGGGTCTATATTTGCTATTCTAAACTCCGTATGCATGCTGGAAAGATTTTTAAAAGATGCCAAGTCCCATACTCAGAGGTTCTGATTTAATTCGTGTTGGGTGGGTGTCAGGCATGGATATTTTTGTAACATTCACTATTTGATTGTAATGTACGTCCAAGACTGGAAGCCCTGGTCTAAAGCCTTTGTATTTAAATTGTGAAGACCAGTATCAGCATCACCTGGAAACTTACCAGAAATGCTGAATCTCAGTCCCTGCACAGACCTACAGAACCTTCATTTCAGGAGGGCCCATGGGTGCTTGGTATGGTACGCCCATTAATGACTGAGAAGCACTTGTCTATAGTTTTCCTCAAATCGTGAATGGAAATTGACCACAGAATTTTCAAAACCACTGAGAAAATTTCAGTATGTGATTTTAATTTGGCTTATAGTCCTGGTTTTTTTGTTCGTTACTGGGTTTACACTATTTTAGAGATAAGGTCATGTCAGGGCAAATTATAGATAATTAATCCACAAAGTAACAACACAGTGAATTACATCCTAGCTCAACCCACCAATGACCTATTACTCATCTCTGCTGCAACCACTATGGATAATTACTCAACAATCAACCTCAATTGGTCTATACAGCATTCACCTTCAAAGATCCAGGTAGCTCTTAGTAAAGAAGACAGTAGCTGAATTGTGTTAATATTGAAAAATAAAGAAAGATAGAAAAGACAAGACAGGTCAAAAGAGAATAAAAGTAAGGAAATATGGGAGGCAATGAGAAGGTGGGGGGGGGACATGTGGTATTTTACCTTCCTGAACATTAGAATGTCAATCCTTAAACCTCAATCTTTAAGTTCATAATCTTTGACCTCCGTCAAAGTATCTCCTATCATTCCTATGGCTATTTTTAATGAATAAGGAGGGGCTAGGAATGAGGAGCAGGAATAAAAGAAACTCCTGTGAAGGAGAATAAGTTACCACGTGAATTTCACTGAATGAATTACTCTGCAAAAGGCCAGGCGCAGGGGCTCACGCCTGTAATCCTAGCACTCTGGGAGGCCGAGGCGGGGGATTATTTGAGGTCAGGAGTTTGAAACCAGCCTGAGCAAGAGCGAGACCCCGTCTCTACTATAAATAGAAAGAAATTAATTGGCCAACTAACATATATATAGAAAAAATTAGCCAGGCATGGTGGCGCATGCCTGTAATCACAGCTACTCGTGAGGCTGAGGCAGGAGGATCGCTTGAGCCCAGGAGTTTGAGGTTGCCGTGAGCTAGGCTGACGCCATGGCACTCATTCTAGCCTGGGCAACAAAGCAAGACTCTGTCTCAAGAAAAAAGAATTACTCTGCAATGATAAAATGAGGTAATGATGGGTCAATTAGAATCATATAATTTTCTACCTTTTTTGAAATTAATTGTAAAACTCAATCCATCCACCAAGGCTCCAAATTTGAATGTATATTTTAAAATCAATATAACCTTTTTCTATGGCACTAAAAGTAGAGTGGGTTTAGTTGAGTTTTATATATGTGGAAAAGCCCAGAATCACTCTTCCAGGTCAGCTTCTGTAGCCAGCCACTCCTTTAAAGAATGCTCTTCACTCAGGCTGCCATGCGGCCACCGTTGTTATAATGAACCACGGGCAAGGGTCACAGACTAGAAGGTCCTTAGGGTTTGATTCGAACCCAATCCCTGCTTGTCAGAGCTTGTCATCAAGCAGAAATACCAGATAGGCCAGACATTACAGTAAATAAATGGATGAATAGCTTTTAAAACCAAATATATAGACAGTATAATCCTTTCAATTTTAAATACTTCCCTTCATTATAAATTTTACTAATTATTCACATTAAAATTTTCATGTTAAAGTTCTTCATCTCGAACAACCAACAGTCAGTAAACACTAACTTTTAAGTCAAATATGCCTTCTTATAAGGCCATATAAGATATTTGGATTAATCACTACTTTCAGGATTTGAACAAGAATAATATATATTAATCCAACAATTGTTTACTGAATGTATAATATGAGCCAATAACGATTTTAATTTTCTGCTTTTATGTTTCATCCTTTTACATACCTTTATTTTCAAACCTTTTGTAATGTTATATTTAAGATACATTTCTTATAAGTAGAATATATTCAGTCTGATGATCTTAGAATTTTAATTGACATATTTAGTCCATTTACATGGAACATAATGATCAAAACATGCGAATTTCTATTTATTGGATTACTGTTTATTTCTATTTCACTGTTCTGTTTCATGTTCCCTTTCTCCTTTGTTTTACCTTTTTAAAAATTAATCATTTTTATTATTTCACTGTCTTCTATTAGCTTATTAGTTATGCTCTTTAAAGTAGTAATCCTACAGATTAAAATATACATTTTAACTGGTTATATTATAATAAAGATTATTAGCTTTACCACTGCCTTTCAATGCTAGAACCCTGGAATATTTTAAATCTATTATCTCTGCTCCCAAATTTTGTGTTTTTAATTAACATGCATGTTAATTCTGCACTTATTTTAAACCTCATAAAACAAGAAATTAATATTATTGCTTTGTACAAGTAATATTCATTTATACTTGTCCACATAATGGCACACTCTGTTGTTCTTCATTTATTTCTGCATTTGCTTGCTTATATCTTGGTTTATTTCTCTTCTGTCTGAAGAAATCCTTTTTCTAATTCTTTTAGAGCACATTTACCAGTAACAAGTTTCCTTAGATTTTGTATGTTTGTACATTTCTTTACTTGATTTTTTAAGGACAATTTTGCTAGATTTATCATGTTAGGTTGACATGGTAATTTGGGGTTTTCTTTCTCATCTCAGCATAATTAATGATGCCATTCTGTTGCCTTCTGTTTTCCTTGTTTCTGTTGAAAAGTTACCTTTGACTTTTGTATTGCTCCCTTAAAGATAATGTGCATTTTTTCTTTGGTTTAAGATTTTCATTTCATCTTTGATTTTCTGTAGTTTTGGTAAGATATACCTGGGTTACTTTATATTTATCCTAATAGATATTTTGAATTTGTGGTTTGCTGTCTTTTATTAGTTGGGAAAAATTACAAAACTTACAAACATTCAAATTTTTTTAACTCATTCTAGTTCTCTTCTACTTCTGGAACTACATTTACATTACTTTAGATTTTTTACTATATTTGACATTTTTCTTAATCTACTTTATGTGTTTTTATAATTTCCTCTTTGTGCTTCAGTCTGGATATTTTCTATTGACTCATTCTTCTGTTCTATCCCTTAAAATATAATACTAAGCCATTTATTGAGTTTTTAATTTCAGCTATTATGTTTTTATTTCTAGAATTTACATGTGATTTTTAAGTCATTTTATATAGCTTCTTATTTTGAAGTAGCTTAAATCTCATAAGAAGTTGCAAAAATAATACAGAGTTTTCACATACCTGATGATAATGTCTTACATTACCACAGTCCATTATCAAAACAAAGCAGTGGCATTGGTACAACACTACCAAGTATTTATAAAGTAAAGAACTTTCTTGAATTGTGCTTCTATGAAATTTTATCACATGTAGATTTGAGTGACCATCATCACACAATTTGATTTTTTTTAAAGTAAATTCCAATTCTCTGTTGAAATTCTATTTTTGTCCCCCTTTCCTCTATTTTCTTGAATATTTTAATCATAGGTTTTTAAAACTTTTTTTTTCTGATAAAGACCCAGAGGGGATATCAATATTGAAATGATCTGTAGTCTGCTTTTCCCCATCTTGGTTTTCAGTCCCACTTCTTGTCATCCCTGGGAACTTTTTACTGAGTGTCTGATGCCAAAGGAGTAAACAGTAGCAGCTGCAAATGGCGTTCTGTCCCTCCTGGCTCCCGGGAGGTCTACCCTTGCCCCTGCTAGGTGAGAGTGCAGAGCTGGCACCTTAACAAAATCACCTTAAGGAAGGACAGAGCTTTGGTAAGGCTCTACCTGCCCCAACCTGCCCTTCGGAGGGCCCAGGCACCATTCACATCGGTCGATCCTTAACTTTAATGCTTATTTCCTTTTTATTGTAAGACTACTAAAGTCTCTGTTTTGCTTTCCAAAGGCTTTCTGCTAAGGTCCTTTGCTTTCTGTCTCTGCAATCTCAGACTTTGACAAATGCCTTCGGCAAAAAGTGGCCAAGTTTGGGGCTCAATTCTCCAGTCTTCCCTCTGACCCATATCCTAGGCCCTTAAATCTCTAATTTGTGTTCCTCTAGCCCCAGAACACTGCCAAAAGTTCCACTCGTTTCTGTACATCTTAGCAGTGGTCCTCTGCCTGAGACCTTCATCTGAATTCTCATCCCAAGTTTTAAGCCAAAAGTCAGCAGATACCACCCCACCACACACACTAGGGAAAAAAAAGAAACGTGAACTATTGTGTTACATTTCTGAGGTTTTCCCTTTTGGGATATTTTGGACTTCCAGTTCTCAACATCTCGGTGTATTTCTGATGTCTCCAAATAGATATTTTTTACTTGACATTTTTAGTTGTTCTCAGAGAGATCACTGGTCTGCTGCAATCTAATCTATCAGAATCAGAGCTGGAAATACAGAATTCTCTGACTCTAGATCTTACATTTCTATAGGTGTTAAGGCAAGAAAGACAAACAATAAACAAAAACCAGGTCAGGCACGGTGGCTTGCCTGCAGTCCTAACTACTTGGAAGGCTGAGGTGGGAGGACCGCTCGGGGTTACCGTGAGCCACGATCACACCACTGCACTCCAGCCTGGGAGACAGAGCAAGACCCTGTGTCAAAAGAAAAAAAGAAACAACCAAAACCTAAACAAGGTAATTTCAAAGGATGGTAAAAGCCATGACGGAAGTAAACAGGAGATGTGAAAATTCTGAGGTAGCCAACTGCCTTCCATTTTACATCTGAGGATTTATAAAGTGCCTTTCCTTATGAAAAACTCTGTGAAGAAAAGCTCTTATTATCCCCATTTTATAGATAAGAACATCTTAATCTTTGGAACATAATTGTTCTTCACTTGCAACAGTCAGACCAGACTGGTGGAAACCTCGGGTAATAAGATAGCAGGAAGTGGCCCTAAACCCGACCCATCCTCACCAGGATTACACATCTCAGCACAGAGGCCCTCCCTACCCCAAATCAGAAAAGAGAGAAAATTTTCCAAGACTTCCCCTGCTAGGGAAGAAGCCACTGGAGGGCACTTTGGTAAATGGAGCTTCCTAGGCCTGTCGTTAGCAATTGAGGGGACCATCACTCTGAAGGCTGCCCGGCTGCCATAACTCACAGGTCTCCCTAATTCAGATGGGTTGGGGATGCTGGACCCTGGAAATAAGCTTTCCCCACCACTGCACTTCACTCTGCTCTCAGCCTTACATCATTTCCAAAGCATTAAGCAGCCCGCAAGTCGAGAATCCTGCCGCTGGGTAACATCTGTAACATCTGACATCATTTAGAAGACACTGCAAGGGTAAAAGAGCACTTTTTTGATCAGACACATAAATAATTCTGAGGAAGAAATTAAGTTAAAAGGCTTTTCTTTCCCTAAATGGATTTGCAGGATTAGGCTTTCCCAGCCAGGCTGCTGCGAGATCTGTTGCAGGGATCTGAGGAGGTAGCTTCGAGCAGCTGACGCTCAGCCACGAGGTGCTCCCAGCAGTGGAGGACACAGTGGCAGTGCCAGGCCACACGGATGCCCTGCTCCCCTCTTGAGAAGGGAAATGCGGCTTGTAGCTTAATCATGCCTCCGAGTGCCCTCAGTGTTCATGGAAGATGGGAAGGGACAGCTGCCGGGTGGCTGTTCCGGAGGGAAAGCTCCTTATTTGCAGAGATGGTCCCCATGATCCTGGGAAGCTGCATGTGACCATCTCCTGCCAAGAGGCTCCCAAACAATCTTCTCCAACCACACTCACTTGCCAGGATTGGGAAAGACTATGCAAACTGTCTCTTTTGTCTTCCCAAACTCAGCATCCACACTAGGAAAAGGAAAAGGAATCAAGAGTCTCAGCTGCTTCTTAAAACTTACTGGAACCACTGCCAGGCCTTTGGCAAGAACAAGAATTTCCATTCCATCTCACCTCTGGCTCTTAGCAGAGGGTGGTGCCGAGCATTTGCCTTCCAGGGTAACCTTCCAAGGATTTTCGGATCTACCACCTGAGGCTGCCTGGATCCAGGGATTATAACAGGGACTGCGTGTGGATATAGGGATTGTAAATGGGGCTCCATGCTAGCAACAGTAGCTAACCTGTGCCCAAACCCACGAATCAGTCTCAGCTGTATGAACTGAGAAGGAGCTGCAGCACAGAGCAGGCCCTGGGAAAGAGCAACATATTCTAGCCTTTATTCCATTACCGTCTCAGTCTGCACAGAGTGCCAACTGGGTTGAGAGTTAGACTTCTGGAATTCTGGCTCTGGAAGAAACCTTAAGCCTTAAGGATCATCCAGGAAGCATTCATTTTACAGATGAGAATGTTGTTTCTTCAGATTACATAGCTAATTAATGACAGGGACATAAGTTAAAAAAAAAAAAAAACCAACACTGGGAATATAAGTATTTGTTCATCACAGTACTTTCAATGTCTGGCAAACACCGGCAGGTAGGTGCCTACTGGGGTCCAGGAACTGTGTTAAGTCCCATACAGGGTACAGAGATGAATACAATACAGCCCCAGCCAATGAGGAACACACCACCTAGTGGGGGACAGAGACACATAACAGAAAATTACAAAGCAATGTTGTCTGTGCTTTCATACTACATAAACAAGGCACCCAGCAGATAATGCAGAGGAAATAATATTCCTGCCTGGGGCCTTCCAATAATTAAGCACCTAATATGCCAGAATAAGCATTGAGAATAAAATAATAGTGAATGAGATGCTGTCCTTGCCCTAAAAAAGCTTGCTATCTAGTGCAAAAATAATATGCAAACAGCTATTCCCAAGACACGGTGGTGAGTGGCCATGTGAAGCAACACGAGGGCACTTTGGGAACACGTGGGAAGGGCACATGGCCCAGGCGAGAGGAAGGTCAGGAAAAGATTTCCAGTTGACATGACATGTAAGTTGAAATGACAGATAGATTGAAACGAGAGTAAATGTATCCAGTGAAGGTAAAGAAGAGAAGAGGAAGGGCACGAAGACATGCTAGGAAGAATAAAGTGCATGATTAAATCGTGATGAATTTAAGATAGAGTACAAATTTTCAAGGAAAAGGAAGCTCTAACTGTAAGCCCGATTTAGCCATAAGATGCTTAGTAATTTGTCTAGTCTTGAGAACAGTGGGAACCCACTGAAAATTTTTAAACAAGGAAATAAAATGGTCAGGCTTTTATTAATATTTATATCCTCTAAATGTGGATTAAGGAAGTGCAAATAGGGGAAAATGGAAGGCAGGGCTTTCCCTTAGAATGTCAGAATAATTCAGATGAAAAATAAAAACGTATGTGAACTCCATAAGAATCTGTCTTGGTCTTTTTTTTCTAATTACATAATGAAAAAGTTGACCAAAAATGATAGTGGGCTGAAAAAATGTAAACTATTGTGGGAGTAGAGATATAAGAATAATAAGGGATATTAAGTGGCTATGGTGACGGAAGGTGAGAGCAGACCGAGCGTGGGGCAGGAAGGACAAGAAGCCGCTGTCGCTGATGCCCAGGTTTCTGGCTTGGCCACCTGAGGATGCCCGAGCTGCTGCCCGAGCTGCTGCTGGGAGACAGAGCACTAGAGTGGAGGAAGGTTGAGAAGATGGCACCAGAAGAGGGCATGTGGGTTGGTCTAGAGGTTAGATGGAGATTTTCCCAACAGAACAGAAAATAAGAATAGCTGTGACACAAGGCTTCCAGTGGGTCTTGTATGAGACTGTGGCTTCCTTCATCACACACACAAAGACAAGCAAAGACAGAGAGAGAGAAAGTGAAGGACCAATTAAGCTCACTGCTGAGAAAACCATCCTGGGGGACGTCTGCTAAGCATTTCTTTGGAATGCAGTTCTCCTCGGTCTAGTCAGGACACAGACGAAGGCAGAGGACGGGCTGGGGTGGGCGGCCGCCAGTGGAAAGGCGGGCACACACTGAGGACGTCCGCCGTCATTGCTGTCCTGGGAGGACCGCTCTGCAGACCCTCCCCGCTGCCTCCTGTGTAAGGGAAAGAACGACAGGACAGTGAGCGAGGGTCTGGCGACGCCGATAAAGACGGGCGGAGGGGCTGAGACAGAGGCACCTGCGGCATCGTGTCAGCTCCAGCTCACCAGCTCAAAAACAAACGCATTAATTACCCACCAGCCTGGGCTGAAGCGGCCGGGCAAACGCCCCGCGCTCAGGGAGACGGCGGCCCCGCGGCCCGCGCTCAGGGAGATGGCGGCCCCGCGGCCCGCGCTCAGGGAGATGGCGGCCCTGAGGGCCTGGCGCCAGGGAAAGGGAGGCGCTCGCCGTGGCCGGGACGGCGCTCCGCTCGGACGCACGCTCCGCTCGGACGCACGCTCCGCTCGGACGCACGCTCCGCTCGGACGCACGCTCCGCTCGGACGCACGCTCCGCGCTCGGACGCACGCTCCGCTCGGACGCACGCTCCGCTCGGACGCACGCTCCGCTCGGACGCACGCTCCGCTCGGACGCACGCTCCGCTCGGACGCACGCTCCGCTCGGCGGTTTCGCCAGGACTCGGTGAGTTCGCAGTAGGGGCCTGTCGGGCAAGGCAGAGCCGCAGCCTCCGTGTAAGCGTCTCATTCATTCTCGGCGTTCTTCCCGTCCATGCTCTTCAAGGAGAACAAAGAAGTTAGTTTCCAGCTCCCACTCTCACACTCACTCTCACACACACACCCACACACACTCTCACACACACTCACACACACACTCTCACACTCACTCTCACACTCACTCTCACACACACTCTCACACACACGCCCCACAC